ATAACCAGGTATGTCGAGTCAATGGGTATATATGTGTCTGTGTGCACGTGACTGTGTACCTGAGTAGGTTTTCTCGCGTGTATCTTTCTGTTGGTGTTTGAGAGTTCATCTTTGTGTGTGTTAGGGGAGTAATAAATGTGGTTTCGTGGGCCATTGCATGTGTGCATGTGTGTCTAAGTGCATCTGTGTAGATGAGCAATTCTTAGCCCTCCCATACCCAACGCCTTCTTTTATGTAACAGAAGTTTTGTGACACCCCTTTACTACCTGGAAAGGAACTTCTCAGATAATGTATTCTCTCTGCACATGTAATTTCAAAAGAAAATCCATATAGTATTTTATACAGTATCCATATTCTACTAACCATAATACAAATAAGAAATAAAAGGAAAGTGATTTATAAGAAAATAATTTGTAGTTCAATATGTAAATACTTGAGTGTGAAGCTCCCCAGAAGATCCAAAGAGGTAACTAGAGGCTTGTAAAGTCTTGTAATGAGTAAATGTGGATTTATGGGAAGGGGGAAAGTCAGACAGAAGTGTAGGAAAATGACTGGGGGTAAGATTTTCCAAAATAGTGAACGACTCCAAAGAAAGTGTACCACAAACCAAAGTACAGTCTCCTCTTAACTTACATGACAGCCACATTCCTGGATAATTCAGGGTATATTAAAACCAGGAGAGGGCTAGCCGGTTAGCTCAGTTGGTTAGAGCACAGTGTTTTAACACCAAGGTCAAGGGTTCGGATCCCCATATCGGCCAGCCACCAAGTAATAATAATAATAATAAATAAATAAATAAACAAAACCAGGAGAAAAAGCGTTTATCTGTGAAATAGGGTTAGATTCTAGGTTCGGTTAATTATAAGTCCAAAGTGCTAGGGGATGCAGGACATATGTTGTCTGTGTGGGACTTCTCTGCATATCACTGGATGGCCAATGTCCTCGCCCTGGACCCCTAAATGTTAGAAGGACACCCTACGTATGTTCCAGCATTGTGGCCACCAAAAATGCTCCTACAAATTTCCAAAATGTTCCCTAGAGGGCAGTAATGCCTTTGGTGAGGAGGAAGCACTGGTGCTTAAGCAGGATATATTGTGTACCTGTGTGAAGGAGGAAGAGTGCAAAATATACCTCTGCCTCTCTCTATGTGTGTATGCATGGTCTCCACGTGTGACTTGGTTGCTGTCTGCCATCTCCATAGCAGTAGGCTGTGTGTGGGTTCATGTAGGTGTCTGGGCAGCAGCAGGTGTGCATGTGTTCTGTGCATGTGCACATGTCCTTAGCCTCAGCTGGGCCCAGGCTGTGGCTGCCAGTCTGTGCTCAGAGGAGTCCTCTCCTCACTTACGGAATCTCTCCACAGCTTTCCTGGCAACACCGGGGTTTTGTTTGCTTGCTGCTGTAGTTTTTTGCGTTTTGTTTTATTGTTTTAGTTTTTGTTGTCACTGAAACTCTGGGCTACACATTATCCGCCTTCTGGGTCTTGGTGTGTCGCTCTGTGTCTCCCTATCTCCATCTTTATTTCTGTCTCTCTCTACCTCTGTCTTTCCCCAGCTCCCCTCTCTGTCTCTCACTCCCCACCCCCAGCTCTCTCTTATTATTCTGTATCTTTCTTTCATTCCTAGTGCTATCCCTTTATTTCTCCACCCCCTGTCCCTCCCTTCCTCCCTCCTCCATCTCTCTATCTCTGTCTCTATTTTACTCTCTGTCATGCTTTTTCTGCATGTCTGTGTCTCCGTCTCTTTTTTCTCACTCTCATTTTCACTCTTCCTCTCCTTTCTGTCTCTATTTCTTTTTTTCTTTCTTTCTTTTTTGGGAGGATAGCTGGCCAGTATGGGGATCCGAACCCTTGACCTTGGTGTTGTAACACTGCACTCTAACCAACTGAGTTAACTGGCCAGTCCTTCCTGTTTCTTTCTATCTCTTCCACTCTGTGTGTAAGGCTCTCTCCCCTTTCTCTGTTGGTTTCTCTCGTGCGCACGCTCTCTCTTTCTCCCTCCTATGTCTCCATCTGTCTATCTCTCACACACACACCTCTCTCCTTCTCTGTCATCCCCTGTATGTCTCTCTGATTCTCCCTTACATTCATTCTTTCTCTGTCTCTGTCCCTTTCCCCCTGCCTCCCCTCCCCTCAAGACTGAGTGTGTGTGTGCACATTCACACACACACAGCTGTGCACTGTTCCACCATTCTGAGGGGGCTATCAGGCCTTGAGGGGTTGAAAGGGGGCTCACTAACCCCACTTCTCCCCAGCCCCTGCTCTAGCACCCTCTCGTGGCCTACTGGCACTGGCTCTGAGACTTCGGGGAGCCATCAAAAAAGCCTGGCCCAAGGTGGATGTGGCAGGCCAGGTTGGGTTGAACTGGGAAACAGTGCAGAGAGGCGACTTTTCCTGGGAGGGAAGGGGTAGAAAGACATCCACTCAAGCTCCCCTGACCCTGACCCCAGCCCATCTCCAGCCCCAACAGTAATCCTGAGCATGTCCAGATTCTGCCTTCCCTCTGAGATCTTCCCTGTTCCCTTATCCCACCCCTGTCAGGCTTGGCAAGACGAGGAAAAGAGAGAGAGAGAGAGACCCAAGCCAGGTGCTATTTCAGCCAAAAAGCTTTATTCCACTAACGTGGAGGGGAGACTGAGCCAGATCAGTTCCCCCAAAGACAGGAAAGCAGGGGGTTATAAGCCTTTGAGGATTCTGGCAGAGTAATGGGCAATTTCGAAATCAGTGGTATGCAAGGTATACAAGACACAGCCCTTGTAGTCTGCTAACACCTGGTCAGTTGGGGCATAGGCTTCTAATTAGTGTCGCTACTATATCAGCACAAAGCATTCCAGCCTGAAGCCAGCTATGAAGCCAGCTACCACGGCCCACAAGATAAGACGTTCCTTTGATGATAATGGTCATGTTTACCCCTTCCCAGAAGAGGAATTTTGCTGCTCAGTTCCTGGAGCAGAAAAGGGAAAGGGGAGGGGGAAAAAGGGGGAAAGTTGCTTAACCTGGCTGTGTTGATGTTAAGCTGGCCATGAGGCTAACAACCCCCACACTCCCCGCCACAGCCACACACACCAGGAGCTTTCCTGTTTACCCCCAAGATTTGCTGTGCACCTCCCACTGCCAGATGGGCTCCTCAGGCTGCTCTTTCAGCAAATCCTACCTGGATGCCTCCAGGGAGCCCTCTCTGACCCACCAGGCCAGTTAGTCCCTCATCAATTAATTTGACATATGTTCACTGAGAGCCCACCATGTGCCAGGTGGTGCTCTTCTAGAGGAGAGTGAGTCTATAATCCCTGCCCTCGGGGAGCTTTCATCTAATACGATGAGGTAGACAATAAACCATATTTTAAAAGTAAATTATATGATGTGTTAGAAGAGAGAAATTCTAGGAAGAAATAAAGGAGGGAAAGAGGCCTGGGGTGCTATTATCTCTCAGCCTCGTGAGTGGTTTCCCTACTTCCATTTTTGCCTCACATTATCTGTTCTCCCCACAGCAGCAAGCGGAATTCTGTTCAATCCTAAATCATATCATGTCTCACCTCTGCTCAAAACCCTCCCATGACTCCTATTTCATTCAGAGTAAAAGTCAAAGTCCTCACCATGGCCTCCATGATTTGGCCTCACCACCCTTCTTCCCTCATCTCCCACTTTTCCCTTGCTAACTCTGTTCTGCCCACAATGGCCTCTTTGCTTTTCCTCAAATGTGCCATCTATAGTCTCACCTCAGGGCCTTTGCTCTGGCTGTTTCCTCCACCTGGACTTCTCTTCCCCCCAGATTCCATATGGCTCACTCCCTCACCTCCTGCAGGTTTTTGCTCAGATGGCACCTCCTCCGTGAAGCCTTCCCTGTCCACCTCATATAAAACCGCAACACCTCTCCCACCCCTAGCATTTCCTATCCCCTTTCCCTCCTTGATGTTTATTCTTAGGAACTTGTCATCATCTGACCTACTATACTTCACCTACGTCTCTTCTTTGTTATCTAGAATGTCTTTCTAGATAACAAGGGCAGGGGTCTTTATCTCTCTGGTTTACAGCTGTATCCCCAGTGCCTGGAATAGTGCCTGGCACACAGTAGATGCTCAATAAATATTTTTTCAATGAATGATTGAATATGCACAAGCATACCTACATTTTTATATTCACACATACTCCCCACCTCACCAAAATGGAAACCAAAGTCCTCATCGTGGCCTGCAGCCCCACACAATCTGGCCCTGGACACCTGTGTCCTCACCACTGTCTCTCTCACTCACACCTTTCCAGCCACCCTAGTCTTCCTGCTGCTCCTCGAGCATGCTAAAGTACATTCCTGATCATGAATAAAGAAATCTATTTAATGAGCAGCTACCAGCATTATAAAAAGTAAACAAAAAATACATGAAATAGAATAGAAACGAGTGGGTACATTACATATAGGATCAGTACTAGTTTGTGAAACTTGTGATTGGGCCGTGTATGCGTGCATGTATGTGTACTGGGTTGTGATGTAAAGTGCATTTTTTACTATGGGTTTCATAAAGGGGAAGAAGAGCCACACCAACATCCCTGCCCCACAAACCCACCAGTGGAGGAAGCAGGTCACCGAGGACCCCCAGAGAGATGAAGCATCCTCACACAGCAAGGAGACAGTAGCAGCAGGAGTGGGCCAGGGGCCAGGCTTGACACTGGAGGGGAGTAAGTGGGGTGGGTTTGTAGACACACTAACCCTGCCTTTTCTCTTTCTTCCTCACCTTTCCTTTCCAACTGTCTCTTATTATCTTTCTCTCCTCTCTCCACTCTTTCTCATCCCCTTCATTACTGTGTCAGTTTTTACCCATTTAAATCTTTGTTGCCATTTTTCTATCTCTTTGTTCTTTCCCACTCTGTCTCTGTGTGTCTATGTGTGTTTTTCTCTGTGTGTCTCTCTCCTGCCCTCATCTCTCTGTCTCTCTGCATCTGAGTCTCCTGCGTCTGTTGTCCCCATTTGCAGGTGCAGCCCAGCAGGACAACTGATGGAGTCCCCCAGGGCCCATCGAGTACTAGACTGGCTGACCCCATAGGGTTGGGAGTGGCCTCTCCCCCCTCAGTATGGCCAACACCACCGGAGAGCCCGAGGAGGTGAGCGGCGCACTATCCCCACCGTCAGCGTCGGCTTATGTGAAGCTGGTGCTGCTGGGACTGATCATGTGCGTGAGCCTGGCAGGCAACGCCATCTTGTCCCTGCTGGTGCTCAAGGAGCGTGCTCTGCACAAGGCTCCTTACTACTTTCTGCTGGACCTGTGCCTGGCCGATGGTATACGCTCTGCCGTCTGCTTCCCCTTTGTGTTGGCTTCTGTGCGCCATGGCTCCTCATGGACCTTCAGTGCGCTCAGCTGCAAGATTGTGGCCTTTATGGCTGTGCTCTTTTGCTTCCATGCGGCCTTCATGCTGTTCTGCATCAGCGTCACCCGCTACATGGCCATCGCCCACCACCGCTTCTATGCCAAGCGCATGACACTCTGGACATGCGCAGCTGTCATCTGCATGGCCTGGACCCTGTCTGTGGCCATGGCCTTCCCACCCGTTTTCGACGTGGGCACCTACAAGTTTATCCGGGAGGAGGACCAGTGCATCTTTGAGCATCGCTACTTCAAGGCCAATGACACGCTAGGCTTCATGCTTATGTTGGCTGTGCTCATGGCAGCTACACATGCTGTCTATGGCAAGCTACTCCTCTTCGAGTATCGTCACCGCAAGATGAAGCCAGTGCAGATGGTGCCAGCCATCAGCCAGAACTGGACATTCCATGGCCCTGGGGCCACCGGCCAGGCTGCTGCCAACTGGATCGCTGGCTTTGGCCGCGGGCCCATGCCACCAACCCTGCTGGGTATCCGGCAGAATGGGCATGCAGCCAGCCGGCGGCTGCTGGGCATGGACGAGGTCAAGGGTGAAAAGCAGCTGGGCCGCATGTTCTACGCGATCACACTGCTCTTCCTGCTCCTCTGGTCACCCTACATTGTGGCCTGCTACTGGCGAGTGTTTGTGAAAGCCTGCGCCGTGCCCCACCGCTACCTGGCCACTGCTGTTTGGATGAGTTTCGCCCAGGCTGCCGTCAACCCAATCGTCTGCTTCCTGCTCAACAAGGACCTCAAGAAGTGCCTGAGGACTCACGCCCCCTGCTGGGGCACAGGAGGTGCCCCAGCTCCCAGAGAACCCTACTGTGTCATGTGAAGCAGGCTGGTAGGCAGACAGGCAGGGAGAAAGTCAAGGCCACCATGATGAGGCAAACAGCAAAGGAAAGCTGGGGCCCCACACAGGAGCCTTCCTTTCTGAGCTCCAGCCCCAGCCCCTTGACCACCCATAATCTAGGCACCTTTGTCAACACCTCCCCAGGGTGGGGGACCAGGTGGGGGTCTGGGAAAGAGGCGTTTCTAGTTTTGGGGGCCCGTCTCCACCGCCTCCTTCTCTACTTCTACAATCTCATTCTCTCTCTCTCTTTCTCTCTCAGAAGTGACAATTCAGAAAAAGAAAACAAAACTGAAAACGCAGGTTTTTCTAGTAACAACTGAGGAGGCAGGCTTTCTTACTTTAATGTCTCTCCTTCTGACATTGTCCAGAAGGGGGAAATTTGTCCTGTAAAATAGACTTCCAGAGCTCTTATTGCCCCTTCTGCTCCCTTGCACCCTCCCCTTCAAGTCCTTTAGCAAGGCCTGGATGTTTAGGGAGAAACTGATCCAAGGCTGCTGATAAGAGGGACCAAAGGGGAGGGAGGGTCCCCAGGGAGCAGGGATGTTTTAATTGCTATGTTGTGTGCAATGTTGTTTTAGGCTAACCCTGGTCCCAAGCCCAGTCTCCTTTCCCTCTCTACCATGTCCAGACCTCCGAAGTGTTTCTTGAACCTCTGTTTGAGAAGCCAAGAGGGCAGGGAGAAGGGCTCCCAGGACAGGCCCAGGCTAGGTGAAGAAGAGGATGTGAACTAAATCCTCGAGCTGAAGAGACCCAAGTTTGGCTGCCTTCTCTTGTGCTGCCTCCAGGATCCCTGCCCCCAACTCTTCTTCTCGAGGATGGAAATCCACTCTAGTCTCACTAGGGCTGATGTGGGTGCCATACAGGCAGGAGCAGCCCCCCAGGGAGGTATGGGGAGGGAGCCAAACTCCCTAGAGTAGCTGAACCCCAGAGTCTGGGGTCAGAGCTGAATTCAACTCTAGAATTGTCTCCTGGGTTTACCCTACTCTTCTGAAGATGAAATTTCTTTTTGGGCTTTGCTAACTGATAGTTGTACAAACTCCAAGGCACTTTGGACTTGAGTCCATTCCTATCTGACCTCTTTTCTTCCCCCTCAAGTCTCAGGGGCCTCAAGCCCCTCCTTGGTGGCCCTTGGCTTTCTGGGCCCTCAGCCCCAAATGTCCTTCCTCCCACCAGCCCTTCTCCCCCTACCTACACCCGAAGTGCAGCACACTGTAGCCAGATTCTCCAGGTGGGAGACCCCAAGTCTCCCTCCCTTGGGCAGAGTCCACTCTGGGCTTACTTCAAAGCCAGTTTTGTGGATTGGCAAGCCAAGATGGAACTCCTTTGCCTCATCTTGCCCAGGCTCTCTGTCCCCCTCTCATTTTCTGGAGGGAGGGTGGAGATCTGTATTTATCCACTCCTCTTTCCTTTCCCTATAGAAGTCCCTGTCCTAAGCTCCCTCCCTACCCCAAGTCAGCCCCAGAACTAGGGAAGCCTTGACCCAAAAGGAATGGGGAAGGCACTCTAGACAGGAGAGACATTAATGAGCCTGGCTGTGGAGTGGCCCTGGAAAGGCAGGCCAGAGTGGCTGAGAGGCTGGGAGTGGGGGGAGGAGGGGTTCTGTTCTCTCAGTGATAGTGATGGGGGTGCCTTTCCAAGGGGGTGGGGCGGGAAGACCAAGGGGATGGGGGTAGATAGGGTACATTCAGGAGGGTTTTCCTCCATTTCTTTTTTCTAACTGCCTGGATTCACCATTGGATTTTGTAAATGGAAAAACTGAAATGAACAATGCTATATTGGATGTTTTCTCTTTCTGACTGTGTGTGTCCGTGTGTGTGTGTGTCTGTGTGTGTGTGTGTCTTGTCTGCATGACTACATGTGGGGAGGTATGATTGAGTGAGACAGTGTGTGTCTCTGTGATTCTCTGGGCAGACAACCCTGAGGAAAACTTGCGTGTTGCACACATGTGAGCAAATGCATGTGAAGACATATACAACACACACACACCTAGCTGAGAGGAGACAAACTAGAGTATGCGCATGCCGCAAGCAGTAGAGTGGTCAGAAGATGGAAGTTGGAAACTGTACAAATGTATGCAGCAGGAGGGTAGACTTCCATCTCAGAAGCTCATCCTGCCTTGACCCAGGCTCTGAGCACAGGGCAGGGAGAGAAGGGGAAGCAGGGTACTTGAGAACCCCATCTCCCAAAGCCTGGAGCCCCAGGTGCCATTCCCAGCCCATCTCTCGTCTCCTCACCCAAACTCGAACAAGGTATTTCTGAAATTGGACCACCATTGAGAATGGGGACTGGGAATTGGGGATCAAATATGGGGGGATCCAATGGGGTTAGGAAATGCCCCCCACAAAATAATGGCTTCTGGAGGGATTGCTCAGTCTGGGATGGGAGCCCTTCCTACAGGTCCACTGTATACAGCTGGGACTTCGGTCAGCTTTGACTAAATTGAGAGGTTGGGATGTCACAGGGGGGAAAAAACCCAAGCCTGGGAATCTACCCAGCCAGCCTGCTCCCTGGGCACTCAATTAATTTACTCTTTATTTATTTATTTATTCTCTCAGGTGCACAGAATTGAGTTGACCGTATGCCTCAGTTCTTGGCACAGTATATAATCATTGGCCCATGAGAAGCTCTTTTATTCTTTATTTGAATTAGTTTTGTCCCCTTCATCACCCATCCCTGATCCCATCCTCCCCTCCCCCCATAGGCACCCACTCTCGTGTATTTAATGTGTGTCCTTCCAATTCACCGTTCATGTGTTTATTTACATATATGTGTATCTGTGAAAAATATGTGGTATTGTGTGTTTTAATTTACATAAACAGTATTGTACTATAAATCTTGTTCTGTTTCTTTTTTCACTCAACATTCTGTTTTTGAGAGCTCCAGGCATGTTGCTGTACATAGATTGATTCATTCTAGTGGTCCATCTTAAACATGTATCACATTTTTCTTATCCATTCCCTTGGTGATGGATCCCTAGGTTGCCTCCAATTCTCTGCTACCACAACAAGGATACAATGGGCAGTTACCTACACTTCTCTTCAGGGACGCCTAATTTAGAGGGAGGAAACTGAAGCTCAGAGAGGGGCAGTGCCTCGGTGAGGGTTACCAAGTGAGGGGCACACCAGTGATGTGAACCCCAAAACCAAAGCCAGAACTCCACCATCACGCCTCAGAAAAGACCATCCATCTCTGGTCAAAAAACAAAAAACCCTTTAAATAGGATTAACAACAGCATACGCTAGGGAAAGGGAAAAGAAAGGAGGGAAAGGAGAAATGTTTAGTAGATGAAGACATAGAAAGCTCTAGAAAAATCTAGCACCTGAAGTGAATCACAATCATTTTTATGACGCAGAGGAAGTTACTTTTGTTATGTGTAATTATTTCTAAAGCCATTTTGCAGAGACGGGAAACGCCACGTCAAAACCCGGCCCCTAAACCAAAAGTCCTGGGTGCCCAAATTGCAGGCGCCCATGGGGCAGCCCGAGCCCTAAGGGGCTACAGCAGAGCTACCCCGGTGGCAGAGGCGGGGGGTGGGGGGAGGGGCAGATACGAGAAGTGCGTAGTTGCTGAGGGGAGGGGGCGAAGGGAACGATAGCGAGGCTCTCTCCATCTTATTTGAGCACATCCCGCTCAGCGCCGGCACTCGTTTTTTCGTCTTGATTTTTGGGCTTCAGAACCCCTGGTACTTTTCTCATTAGATAAAACCGTGGCAGGATATGGGAGAGGGGCTTCTTCTCGCAGCTTTCCTCTCAGCCAATCGCCCTGCAGGTTCCCGCTCGTCGCTGAGGGAATCAGCCTTATGATTGGCTGGTCCGAGGGGAGCCAATCGGAAAGCGATGATGTGTGGTGTTGGCAAGCGGATTGCGTGAAAACGGGCAGGGGTCGATGGAGCGCGAGCGCCGCCGCGGCAGCCAGCAGCCAATGGCAAGGCAGAGTGGGCCCCTTGCGTCAAGGAGTGGGCGGGGCATCGGCGATTGGCGCGGAGGGAGCAGGGCATGCGCTGTGGGAGGGAACGCCAGAGCTAGGGAGCGAGCCGAGCTGGTCGCGTGAGCTGCGGCGGCTCTGCTTCGGTTGTGACCGGCTGCGACGACGCGGCTGAGAGCAAAGGGGCGAGTGCGATCTCCTGAGCTGTGTGAACGCGGTCACCATGGACCGCCCAGATGAGGGGCCTCCGTCCAAGACCCGCCGCCTGAGCAGCGCCCAGTCCCCTCAGCGGAACCCGCCGCCGCTGCCCCCGCCCCCCCCACCGCTCTGGCGACTGCCCCTGCCTCCACCCCAGCAGCGCCCAAGGCTCCGGGAGGAAACCGAGGCGGCACAGGTGCTGGCTGACATGAGAGGGGTGGGACTGGACCCCGCGCTGCCCCCGCCGCCGCCCTATGTTATTCTCGAAGAGGGAGGGATCCGCGCGTACTTCACCCTGGGCGCTGGGGGTCCCGGCTGGGAGCCTGCAGTCGAGTCAGGGTACGGGGAGGCACCCCCTCCCACAGGGAGCCTGGAAACATTCCCCCCTTCCGAGGCCTCTGGGGGAAGCCTGGAAATTGACTTTCAGGTTATTGAGCCCAGCAGCCTTGCTGGAGAGAAGGCCCTAGAAACCTGTAGCGCAGAGGGGTGGGGGTCCCAGAGGTTAGTGGGCCCAAAGAGGAAGGAAGAGGCTGTCATCATAGTGGAAGATGAGGATGAGGATGAGAAAGAAGCTGTGAGGAGCAGCAGGAGGAGGAGGAGGAGGAGGAGGAGGAAGCAGAGGAAGGCAAAGAAGGGAAGCACAGAGAGAAATGTCGAGGGGATGGAGAGCATCCTGCAGGCACTGGAGAGCATTCAACTGGACCTGGAGGTGGTGAACATCAAGGCAGACAAGGCCTTCCTCCGTCTCAAGCGCAAGTTCATCCAGATGCGAAGACCCTTCCTGGAGCGCAGAGACCTTATCATCCAGCATATCCCAGGCTTCTGGGTCAAAGCAGTATCCTTCTCATCGACACTCATGGGCCAGAAGCCCATGACAGAAAGGGGGTGGTGGGGGAAGGACAGAAAGGGTGAAAATGTGTGGGTGAGGGCTAGGGATGGAGGTGGGTCCTCTATCGGAAAACTGACTAGATTGGGTGGACAAAGGATGGCAAGAGGAGGGCAAAACAGCAGAGAAGCTGGATTGGAGTTGATAAAGGGTGGAGGGGGGCACACAGCATAAAAACTGGACCACAGATGGGAAAGAGGGAGAGGAGGAGCATAGCATAAAAAAATGGATTACAGACTGTGAGAGGGGGAGGGTCTTAGAGGGGCACACAGCAGAGAAATTGGACCAGAGATGGTGAAATGAAGAGGGGAGAGGCATACACAAGGTGATCTGACTCAGTCAGTGAAGAGGGAGGGGAAGAGCACACAGCAGAGAAACTGCCCAGAAAGGGTGCCTAAGCCACACAGTGCTCTACAAGCCTAGGACTCTGCTTTAGACACTAGAAGACCCCAATCCTGGCTGGAGTGCCCTGCATTGAAGGGAAGGGGGCTAGAGAGGGGCTGGAGCCACTGAAGGGTCAGGAGAGGAAATACCTAGGTATAAAGATGAAGGAGTTAAATAAAGGAAAAGGGAGAGTAGGAAGAATACCATTCATTATTGGTTATTGTTAAGCTTATCTCTGGGGACACATACATACATGTAACATGTAAGGAACACATGGGTTTAACATCCTAACAATTACATGGATACAGACCCTTGACACCCTTCTACCAAGTATCACAGGTCTTCAGCACAAAGACACACAGTATCACTTGGACACAAACCCTCAAAGCCTTTCACACAACATGTGTACACAAACCCTCAACACCCACACATACAGGGTCGTGTGGCCACAGGTCCTCAGCAACCAGATATAGCATCACCCGGACACAGGCCTTCATCCCCCAAACACAGCATTTTGTGAACACAGGCCTTCAGCACCCAGAGACAAACGTCATATGGACGTAGACCCTCAGCACCCAGACACACAGCAAATACAAACTGTGGCAAGGGTACTTAATGCAGAGGTTTAACACTGCATAAACAGGTTCTCACTACATAGAGGGTATCATGGAAATAAAAGTACAGGTCATACCTCATGACCCACTTGCTCCATACACATCACATGAACATAGAAGGAATCCTTCTCCAGCCTCTCTTTGTGCTCTGCCCTGTCTGACCTTCCCTACCTCCCTCCCCTCTCATTGAACAGTCAATCCTTGACCTAAACTGCTCCACTCATCAGTTCCTCAACCACCCCAGAATTTCAATCTTGATCAACCAACGTGATGAAGACATTTTCCGCTACTTGACCAACCTGCAGGTCAGGCCAAAGAAACATTTTTAAGTAGGACCAGGCGAGGAATCTGGTCCTTGGAGGTGAGGGGGGGTAAGTGGGAGGGGCCGTGGTGTGGAGGGGACAGATTCCACCATTACCCCCACACTGAGCAGGTACAGGATCTCAGACATATCTCCATGGGCTACAAAATGAAGCTGTACTTCCAGACAAACCCCTACTTTACAAACATGGTGATCGTTAAGGAGTTCCAACGTAACCGCTCGGGTAAGAGGCAGTTCCAGGATAAATCCATGCCCTCTCAAGTATCCTTGTCTGTTCCCCTTTTTATAAGTTCCTCTCCCTGCACAGGCCGTCTGGTGTGTCACTCCACCCCAATCCGCTGGCACCGGGGCCAGGAACCCCAGTCCCACAGGCACAGGAATCAGGACACCAGGCAGAGCTTCTTCAGCTGGTTCTCTGACCACAGCCTCCCAGAGGCTGACAGGATTGCTGAGGTGGGGCCCCTCCTGACATTGCCAGACAGAAGGCCTTGCTAGACTTACCCCTGGGTACCTGGGGAATTGGGAGTAGTGTCTGGGGCTCGTACTCATGGTTCTGTTCTCCCTTCTCTCTCTTTCAACAGATTATCAAGAATGACCTGTGGGTTAACCCTTTACGCTACTACATGAGAGAAGGGGGCTACAGGTCGAACAGAAAGAAGCAAGAAGAGAAGGAAAGGTGAAAAGGGTTTGGTGGCTGAGAGGTGGTTTGTTGGGGACAAAGACTAGATTAGTGTCACACACAAAAGGGATCTTTGAGATAATCCGGTGCAATATATTTTACAAGTAGGGAATTATGCCCAGAAATGGCCTAAGGTTACATAGGGGGAGAAATGGGACTCTCCCCCACCCAGCCTTGTCCCTGGGAGCCCTCGTAGCATACTGCCTCCCCAGTTACTTACCACCTTTCAGTGTCTGCATTGGGTTCACCCTCTCCCATCAACCGCAGGCTTCCCCACAGGAAAATCAAGCATGAATATGAGGTGGTGATCATGGAAGACACTTACAACCATTATGCAGTGGAAGATATTTTCAGCGAGATCTCAGACATTGATGAGACCACCGACAATGAAACCATTCATGACATCAAGATCTCTGATTTCATGGAGACCACTGACTACTTCGAGACCACTGACAATGAGATAACTGACTTCAATGAGAACGTCTGTGACTATGAGAGCCCTGCCCACAGTGAGAACCCCAACAAGATTGCTGATGACAATGAGACCACTGACAACAATGAAAGTGCCAATGACAACGAGAGCCCTGATGACAACAGTGAGAACCTCAAAGACAATAACAAGAACACCGATGACAATGAGAATCTCGACAACAGTGAATACCCTGATGACAATGAGAACGCTGATGGTGACAAGAGCCTCAAAGGTGGCAACCAGGGCAGCAGTGGCAACAACCAAGACAGCAGTGACAGTGACAATGAAGGAGATGAAGGCAGTGATGATGAAGATAATGATGGCAATGAAGGTGACAATGAAGGCAGTGATGATGATGGCAATGAAGGTGACAATGAGGGCAGTGATGATGATGACAGAGACATTGAATATTACAAGAATGACATTCAAGACCTTGACAAGGATCAGAAAAACAGCACCAACCAGTATGACTACGAGGATAAGGTAGAGATCATCTCAGAAGAATCAATGGAGGAAGAAGAGGAGAGCAGTGGGGAAGGTGAGCTAGACCTTCTCTTGTCTTCCTTCCCTTCTTTTCTCTTAAAGAAAATATAGCCAGGGCCAGGGTATTAAGGCATGAACACTATCTGATCTTATGGAGGAAAGAAAAAGCATTCTGTGCAGCTTTTTTAAACAAGGGAACACCAGGGAACATTTAACTTTCGAATATAACAAAACCAAAAACACAATGCAGTTCTAGGTAATGGGTACATAGGTTATAACAGCAAAAGACAAATAAGAGTAGACAAAGATAGGAGAGAGTGGGTGGAAAACCAAAAAGGACAGGTTCACACACAGAGATGGGGGGTGGGGGGAGTGGTAAACACATTGCAATTCAGCACACTCTGTACCTAGCCCTGACTTTCTGGGAACTCCTAGGCTTGTTTGGGGAGCCCAGAGTGAAGTAAGAAGTGTCCTCCTCCCAGAGGAGGGAACAGCTAATTCTACCTCAAGAGTGGGGAAGAGGAAAGCTAGAGAAAGTAGGTGATGTTTGAATTGGAAGCTGCATTCCCACTGAGGAGCATTATGGAGCATTCCTGGTGGAAGGGATCACATGAACAAGGACCTGGAAGGGTGAAAGTGCATAGTGTGTTAAGCGGAGTTTCCAAAATTGTCTCCTGAGGACCCTTCACCAGTTCTGAAAGCTGCTGCTCACAGAAGGGTTCAGTGGTCAAATATGATGAGAAAATACTGCATACAGTAATATTTTCTTGTAGAGTCACATGTACATTAGCACTTTAAATGTTCTAACCCAGCATTTCCCAAACTTTTGGATCACAGAAGCCATTGTTCTTACTGCTCATCAAAGAATGCATTTTCGGAAAGGCTGAGGAAGGGTGCACGCAGGGGCTTAAGGGAGACAGCGGTATTTAAGGTGACTCCCCGGTTTGGGTCTGGCCTGGATGACTGGCAGGAGAAGGTGCTTGAGCCTGGCTGTAGGCAGACAGAAGAGAAACAGGCCCCTGGAGGAGGTGGAAGGAGTGGGAAGACCAACTACTGGGGTTTTTGGCCATGGAGTTCCTGGCAAACTTCCATTAGGGAAGGGCCAGGGCACCAAGGAAGGAGGCATTGAGTGAGTGAGTAGCCTCAATCTAGACATATTTTCAGGTAAGGTAGAGTAGGGAAATGGAGGGACTTGTTAGTCCTCTTCCTTTCCCACTTGGTGGCATCTCTTCTCTTCAAGAAGGAGAGGCAGAACTGTCTGCCCAGCCCTGGAGTGGGGGTGGGGAATTGGGCTGAAGAAGACAGACTCGGGCCTGTTTGGATCAGACTGGGGGAGAGAAGCGAGGGAGCTGCCTGGGGATGAATAGAAGGTTTGTTCAGCCGAGGTTAGAACTCAGGAAGATACCCACATTGACAAATACATGGGAGAGAAAAAGCTACTTTCAGAGATTTGTCAATTTTGACAGGACAGAGGCAGGGAGCCCTCCCTGCCTTCCTGCCTCTCACTCCCCCTCACTCTCTTGCTGGCATTCATACACACACATTTGGTGGCTTGTTCCAAGCAGAGACGCTTGGCGAGTGGTCCCAGGCCCCCCAAAACCTTGGCTTTGGACTGTGTTCCCTATTAGAGTGAAAGGTACCTGCCCATCTAACCGCATTCCTCCATTTCCCCTTTCTTGCCTCTCTCTCCCCACGCAGGGAGCAAGCACGGTGTGGCCGACTATGAGGAGGAAGGAAGAAGCTACGAGGAGGAAGGAAGTGAAGACAACTGGGAAGGAGGGGAAGACTGGGAAGACTCCGACTTGGAGGAGGTGCTTCATGTCCCAAACGCTTGGTCCACCCCTCTGGGGAAGAGGGGGAAAACCGGATAAAGATCTTACCCTTGTGGGGGCCGCCTCTCTATGTCCCCGTCCCCCGTTTGCCCTCCCCCTCAGCTAGGGCCGCGCGGCCCCACATTGCACTTCTGGGGGGTGACCGACTTCGTACACGGGTTTAAAAGTTTATTTTTATGGTTTAGTATTTGCAGAGTTCTTATTTTGGGGAGAGGCAAAGGGGGATTCCCCCTTCTTTTGGTCCTCCTCATCTGCAGGTTTCTGTGTGCTGCTAAAAGTGTTTATTGTGATGCCTTTGTCAGGGCCCCTCTATCCCCCTTCTTGTTAGTGTTAGCACCAGCCCCTCTCCCCATACTGTGTGGAGTGGACACCCTGTTCCTGACGCGGGGAGGGCTGCTGTGGCCTTCGTCACAGCCACGCAGTGGCCTTGGAGGCTCTGCTGCCGCCCTGTTCTCCCAAGTCTCTCTCCTCTCCCTCCAACCCTCTCCTTTTCCCGCCGTGCCCGCTAGCCCGCCTCGGTGTCTATGCAAGGCCAATTCGCCATTGCGGTATTCCTGTCCCCCTCCCCCAGAAGCCCCGCCTCTTTCCCTGTGAACCCTGGTAATCCTAATAAAGTTCTGAGCAAATTCAAAGTGCCACTTCGAGTCTTTTGTCCCGCTCGGTGTGCCGTCCCCAGCGGCCATTCTCCCCACAGACACGAACGAAGCCCAGCTAGGCTGTGCAGCGGCCTGCAAGATGGTAGCTGCGGGGATGCGACTGGCTGGGGGCGAGTTCGGCTGGGCCGCAGAGGTGTTGCGTCAGCTCAATGCGGGCCGTCCCGGCCAATGACAGGGCGAGGCTGAGGAAGCCCCTCCCACTCGCGGCAGCAATGGACCCAGCCAGGTACCAGAGAGCGTCCCACCTTCCCTTCTGGCGCACGCGCACAGAGGCTCCCGGCGCCCGAGAACATCCTTTTATTCAGTGATTCATCTTTTTATTTGTAGTGCGTCAAACCTTTCCTTGGGCCTAGTGTGAGCTGGGTGTGGCGGAGCCAGAGGAATCCATTTTTCTCGTTCGCATGTAGTACGAGAAAAACGACATCGATCCGACATCACATCCCGATCATGGAAAAGCGCTCTTTTGTCCTTTGGGAGGGGGCAGGGTCCCTGGAACTGAGCCTGGGAGAGAAGGCAGGGAAAGATAGCTCAGGCCGAGGAGTTTGCATAGAGATAAAGGAAAAACAAAGGGAAATTACTATGTAGCCATGCGAAGGCAAAGGGAGATCGGGAGTTGGGCATTTGAAAGGCAGGCTTTATCTGGGAGAACTTGAAAAGGCTGAGTTGTATTAAATTTGGGGTACAATAACTTTATTTTAACGGACACCAGAAATATTTCCCAGATTCGTTCTGGAACATAATGATAACTTTTATACAGATGTCTGGGTCGGTCTTTTATAATATAACTCCCGTTCTATCCAACGCCTTTATTTTGCTGGAAGCCTTCAGATTTGGTCAAATTTGCGTTTTAGAGAATGCCCTCTGCTGGCTGCTAGGAAAACGGATTGGAGGGAGGGAAAGCAGTGAGGAAGTTGACGGTATACTTCAGGCCAGGGTGGCATGATGGCAGATACAGGAGGGTTTTTTGTTTGTTTGTTTTGTTTTTAATAAACATTTAATTTCAGAACAGTTTTAGATTTACAAAATTATTAAGATAATAGAGAAATTCCATACACCCCACAGCCAGTTTTCTTTATTATTGACATTTTACATCAGTGTGATACATTTGTCACAATTAATGAACCAATATCAGTACATATTATTAACTAAAGCCTGTACTTTATTCAGATTTCCTTTGTTTTAACCTAATGTCCTTTGTCTGCTCCAAGATCCCATCCAGAATACCACACTACATTTAGTTGTCACATGTCCTTAGGCTCCTCTTGGTAGGGACACTTATTCAGACTTAACTTGTTTTTGAAAATGACCTGGAGTCATCATTTGAGGGGTACTGGTAGGGTATTTTGTAGAATGTAAAATTAGGATTTGACTGATGTTTTTCTCATGATTAAACCGGGGTTATGGGTATGGGGGGGGGAAGACCACAGAGGTAAAATGTCATTCTTATTACATCCATACTATCAATATGACTTATCGTTGTTGATGTTATCTTTGATCACTCGGCTGAGGTAGTGTCTGTCAGATTTCTCCACTCTAAAGTTACTCCTTTTCCCCCTTTTCTATGGCGTCCTCTTTATAAGGAAGCCACTAAGTGCAGCCCATGCTTAAGGAGTGGGGAGTTATGCTCCATTTCCTTCAGAGGGGACTATCTACATAAGTTAATTGGAAGTCTTCCACATGAGAAATTTATTCTATGAGAGTTTTAAGATGCTGGAATGGACAGGCTTTAGGTATGGGAGGAGAGGGATTGAACAGAGTGGGAATGACTGTGAGGTTGCTGTGGGACCTTTGGCAAGGCTCCTTCCCTCTCTGGGCCTTTTCTGTGAAATGGTTGGAATGCCAGATTTTGGACGTAACTCTCCATGATTCTGATAAATATTTTGGGGAGAAGATGGAGATTTTGATGCCACAGGCTCTGACCTTGAATCGCACTGTCAGAGGTGGATAGAGAGAACTGAGGCTCAGAAAGGGAAACATCTAGCCCAAGGTAATGCAATAGCAGGGCCAGAGCTGAAGAGTGCAGGATCCTAAGTCAAGGCACCTTATGCAGAGGAAAGAGACATTTACGTGCAGTATCTGGATCTAGTCCCAACGATCATGGGGGGTGGAGGGGGGGAGGGTTGGCAGCAGAGACAAAGGCCCTGGAGTGGGGCAGGAAGAGGTCAGCCTGACAGAAGGATTCCAGCCACTCTGAGAGATAGCAGCCTGGCTACTCTTGCTTCAATCTGCCCTACCTCACAACGTTACTCCCTGTATTACTCCGTTTTGTGTTGCCATAACAGAACACCTGAGACTGGGTAGTTTATAAAGAACAGAGGTTTATTTGCTTACGATTCTGGGATAGCTGCATCTGGGGCGGGCCTCAGGCTGCTTCTACTCATGGCAGAAAGCGGCAAGCAGCCAGCAGGGACAAGCAGGTCACATGATGAGAGGAAGCAAGAAAGAGAAGGGGAAATGCCAGGGTCTTTTAAACAACCAGCTCTCGCTCACTACACCCAACCCCCAGGGAGAGCATTAAACCATTCATGAGGGATCCGCCCCCATGACTCAAACAGCTTCCAACACTGCCACATTGGGGATCAGCTTTCCACATGAGTTCTGGGAGGATAATACATCCAAACTCCATCACTCCCACATCCTCCCTAGAGCGCCTTGGTTTTCCCATCTACAAACTTTGCCTAACTGTGCTAGGGGATCAGTCCAGGAGAAGCAACCTGCCTAAGATTCCAAGATGGAGTTTAGCCTTGAAGCAGGTCTCTGAAGTCTGGCCTTCATCACGCTCTTCCCTGATTCCTCTTAGTCCACCCAGTCAAAACCCCAGCCCCCTATCCTGGTATTTGAGACTCCTCTTTACCCATCCTGTCAGAGAGGGTCTCTGAACTTCAGGGACACTTTTAGGAGCCAATTATGAGATTCAAATATAATTGGCCAATGTGCTCGTGTCCTGGGCTGAGGCAGCATGGGAGGAGAGAATGTTCTTTGCCCAGAGTGACATCTTGTTCCCTGTCCCCTGACTCTTCAGTCTGGGCCTCCAAAAGGGAGGGTTGTTCTAGAAGGTCTTTAAGGTAACATCTAGCTCCAAAACATAGTCTTCACTGAAGACCACAGAAGATGGGCCCCATTTGCTGGGACCTTAAACAGAAACCAGGAGGAAGATGAGAAGTCATGGACCCAATGTGCCCCAGGGTCTGTCCCCATGGTGATACTACTTGTCTTTGAATCCTTTGCAGCTTACCCCATTCCTCTGCAGCGGAAGGCCCTGCTCCTGGGTGTGAGGTTCCTGGGATCTCCTGGGGCCAGACCTTTAAAGTACCACCCACTTCTGTGAGCAGAATCAGATAGGCAGGGACAAAATAAGGTTCGGGAATGTCTCTCCATCTTAGGTGACCAAAAGGGCCAGCACTGGCTCCCTCAATTGGTGGTATAGAGTATGGTTGGGGAGGAATCCTATTACTCATTCAGTAAACAGTCACTGAGCACCTATGGTGTACCCAATACTGACTTGGGTGATAGGGATACAGCAAGGAAATGAGACAGACCAAGTCTTTGTCCTCCTGGAGTCCAGAGTTGAAGACAAATACTCTTAATATTTTCTGTGCCACAGACCCCTTTGGTGATTTAGTGAAGCCTATGGATCTTTACTTAGAAAAAATAAAAATCTTTTAAATGCATAAAATAAAATAAAATACCTAGAATTACAAAGGAAATTGATTATATTGAAATATAGTTATTAAAATATGGAAACAGCGAATATATGCTATAGTAATATATGTGCTCCCATTAATCCATTAAGTCATAACACCTAATGGAGGGTGTGATGACTATGACTATCACGATTTTAAAATAGTGATGGGATTATATATTTCGAGAGATCTGCAACATATATAAGTTGATATGAAAGTCTGTGATTTCTATTGGTGACAGTCACCAATACTACTATTACTGCTATAGTTAATTACAGTCTTTATTGGAAAAATGCCGAATTTCAGTTAGAAGAAAGGGAAAATAAAGATGTAAATTTGTTCCCATCCAAATTCATGGGCCACCTCCCAAGCCCTGTCTCCAGATTCGATTGGAGGTCTGTGGAACCCAAATCAAGAAACCCTGCTAATCAGAGGGTCCTTCCAGTGTCTACTTCCTTCTTTAAACAACTTTCCTTTGGAAGACACAAACCTGGGTTTTATTCTGGGTCTTATTGCTGTGTGACTTCAAGCCAGTTTGCCTCTCTGGGCCATAATTCCCTCCCATAGTTTCCTTTTCCTTGGGAAAGGAAAGAATTGGGAGGGGAGACCTTAATTATTTATGCTCTAGGCAATTATGTTCTCTCGTTTAATCCTCAGAAGATCATTGTAAGAAAAAAATTTTAATTATCTTCCCATCTCACAGATGGCTAAATTGAGGCTCCGAGCAAGGTCGTCACTTGACCAATGTCTCCGTAAGTAGCAGGTGCTGGTGGGTGGCGCGCCATTTCCCCATAACCATTCCATGGGTGGAATTAGGAACTCCGCTCACTTTGAGCGAGAAAAACCCGGCTCAGAAATCTGTGCAGGTGGGGGTGGAACCATGGGAAACTGGGGGCAGAGTCACGTGCCTTAGCAGAGTAGTGTAAGTGCAAGGTGGCTGACGAAGAGTAAGACGTCAAGAAGCCCGGGATCTCCAATTGTTCAGTGACTCGCACCCGGCCTGGCTCCGCGCTTCGCGCCTGTGTGTGTCCAACTAACTCCCGAAGCCTTGTCGAGGAGGCCTGCAAAGGGCAATGACGAGTGCTCCTTTCCTGGCGAATGCCATTAAAGGGTGGGCTTGGCTCGTAAACCAATCAAAGACCCCCGGGGGGGGCGGAGTTTTCTTCCGCTTGGATCCCCGCCTTGGGGATAAAAATAAAGGGTTTCCATCTCCAGCCAATCCCAGGGAAGAATGGGGGCACTCCTCCAATGGGATCCGGAGAGCCGTCGGTAGCAGCGGAGGCCTGTGACCCCGCTCGCACTGCAGCCGGCGGGAGGGAAAGGTCCGGTGAATTCGCAAGGTTCTGCTGCGAGCCCCCGGCATCTGTGCGCGCGGCGGCGCAGACGGCTGGAGGTGTCCGGTGAGAAGCCGTAGAGTGAGTAGCCGGGAGTGAGTAGCGGGGGAAGAGGCCGGGCCCGAGCGCATGAGGGGTGGGGCCTGGGCGAGCTTTTACCTGGGCGACCTCTCAACCCTAGGTCCGCGGGTTGCGGAGGATCGTGCGGGTAGCAAAGGGAGGGCGAGTGCTCCTGCGGCCCCCAGACGACAAGCAGGTGAGTACCCTGCGGAGCCCACCGCCCGTGCCCGCCCTCCGCGGGCCCCGATCCCCAGTCTCTAGGGAAACCATTCTGGGCAGGTCTGCCGCTCACGTGATCGTCCGCGCCCTTGTCTGTCTCCTTCTCCGCACCCCCCGTCTCTGTCTCTTTCTGTCTCCCTCTCTGAGATAGCCTGGACCTAGGAGGCTGAATCCTGACCCAACCAATTAAAACTAGCTATGAGACCTAGAGCCTTTTACTTCACCCATCTGGGTCTCAGTTTTCTCATCTGTTAAATGGGGGTCTAATAATCTCTACCTGAGACAATGCGTATGCGTCACTTTGCCCAGCGCTAGGCCCCTAGAAAATTTTCAATAAATAATGACTATCGTGATTGAAAAGAATATTGTCTCTCTTGGTCTCTGTCTTTGTTTTCTCCCCGTTTCTGACCCTGCCCCCGTTGGATCTTCTTTCTGAATGTTTTGTCTTTCTTTGTTATTATTTTTCATCTTTTCTATTTTTCATCTTTCCCATCCCTAAATAGGCTACAGGTGCATTGTTTATAGCAATGAGCTTAGCCTGGGACTTGGAACTGTTCTGTGGGTAAAAACTAGGACCTGGCCTTGGGCCGTTTCTGGTCTCATTAAGAGAACCCTCTTTGTTCCCCAGCCTACTTTATTAAACAGGTAGAGACACCTAGGGTGGAGAGTAAATTAGATTGAAAATCACTTTTTTTTTTTATGTCCAGTTTGGATGAAAACCACTTTTTAATGGCCCTTTATCCTGTATAAAGTTAGTCACTACAAGAATCCCAGAGATCTCCTGGTTACACCCCCTTACCTCCCTGGACATGCTCTTTTCTGTCCCCATCCTGAAATCCTTCAATCAGGACTTCTGGAACTCACCTTCAGTCATCAGTAAAATCCCCTCCATTCTCATCCTGGCTTCTGAATACTTCCTTCATTTTCTTACCATGTCTATTGGACCCAACACTTCATTTTTATAATGTATATTTTTAAATGATCCCTTCACTATTTTAAAATGAAGTGCATAGAAAATAGAACCTATCTACACACATAATTTCCTGAAAACCAATATAATGCCCTAATCGTAATACAAGGGAGAAGTAAAGGAAAAGTAATTTATAATAAAACAATACGTATTTCAATATGTAAAAACTGAGACATGACTCCACTAGAAAACATAGTGAAATAAGTGGTCTTGCACATAAGGATACTTGCACCTGTGAATGTGACAGTGACATGTGTGTTGATTGGTGACTCAGTAGCCACAGGTAGGACGATGCAGTTTTCCTAAATGATGAACAATTCTTTATAAAGTTCTAAACAAAACAATGTGCAATCTTCCCTCAATTTGTGTGGCTGTTGAATTTATAGAAAAGTCAGTATATACGAGGGTACTTCAAAAATTTCATGGAAAGATTTGTATTTCCACAAACTTTTTGAGGTACTCTGTATTAAAATCTATGATCTGGTCCTCCCTAGTTTCTCTGACCTTACCTCCTACTACTCTCCTTGCTTGCTCACTCTATTCTGCACATACCAGCCTCCTTAATGTTACTTGAACACATTAGGCACACTTCCACCTTGCGGGGTTTGTACTGGGCCATTCCCTGTACCTAGAATGCTCTTCCCCTAAATATGCATGAGGCTCATGCCCCCACTTCCTTCAGAACTCTACTCAGATGTGACTTTCTCAGTGAGGACTACCCTGACCATCCTATTTAAAATTGCTACTCTCTCCTAGCACTTACCCTGCTTTATTTTTTCCATAGTACTCTTTACCTTCTTACAAGATATATAATTTACCTTTTTATTATGTGCGTTGTTTATTGTCTGAGTCTCCCACTCAATTGTAAGCCCCCAAAGGGCAGAGATTTTTCTTTTTTTGTTCCCCAATGTATCCCTATTACCTAAAACAGTGCTTGGCACATAGTAGGCTCTCTCAATAAATGTTTGTTGAATGAATAAAGAACAAACAGGTTTCTTGCCTACATGATTGTCTGGTGGGACGTTCTAAAGTTGAACGGGATGTTGTACAATTCTTTGTTGTGTGGAGCTGTTTGTGCTCTTCAGGAACCACTGCTTGAATGGCAATCTGGCTTTCCCATGGACACTGCTCCCCCAGCACCCCCTTCTTACCCCTCTTATCAGGAGGCTGGAAGGTAGGGGTAGGTATTCTTCTCCTAATTGCCCTTTCTAGCCATTTTCTCACCTTCCTTCTTAAACATCCGTTTTGTTTGTTTTTAGAATTTTTAAGCTTTTTTATTTTAGAATAAGTTCAGACTTTAAAAAAGTTGTAAAAATTATACAAAGAATTCCCACATATCCGTCACTCAGATTCCCCAAATGTTAAGAAATTATATAACTGCAGTTTAAGTATGAAAATTAGAAAATTAACATTGGGGGCCAGCCCGTGGCTCACTCAGGAGAGTGTGGTACTGACAACACCAAGCCAAGGGTGAGATCCCCTTACCGGTCATCTTTTTATTAAAAAAGAAAATTAATATTGGTACAATGCTATTAACAAAAGTACAGAACTTATTCAGATCTCATCATTTTTTTCCACTAATGTTTTTCTCTTCTAGGATCCAGTTAAGGATCCCGCATTACATTTAGTCCTCCTGTCTCCTTAGGCTCCTCCAGTCTGAAACAGTTCTTTAGTCTTTCTTTGTCTTTCATGACCTTGATACTTTTAAAGATTCTTGCTCAGTTATTTTATAGAATATGGGTTTGTCTGAAGTTTTGTTGTGATTATAATAAAATTATGTAATTCTGGCACGAATACCACAGAAGAGATGTTGTATCTTCATGGTATCGAATGATAATGTCAGTGGTATTGATTGAATGATGTCATTTTGTCCCAGTACTGGTTTTTTTCACTCTGACCACTTGTTTAAGGTGGTGTCTGCCAGGTTTCTTCACTGTAGTTGCTCTTTTTTCCTCTGTAATTAATGAGTGATTTGTGACAAGATACTTTGAAATTATGTAAATATCAACCCCCATGTTTTAAATCTCAAATCATCAGACTATACTATCAGCTATCCCTCTGTGTTCACACTGCTCCAGTCCTAATTCTTACTGATTTTAATATCCTTACAGATGATCTTTCCAGTGTTCTCATCTCTCAGTTCTGTGATCTGCTCTTCTCCAAAGATCCTGCCTTTCAACTCCACCATCCACTCTAATAGTCTTGTCTCCATAATCTCAGTTTCAGGCTTTCTGCTATCCAGCCTTCTGTCCTAGCTCACTCTAGTACCCCAACTCCAACAGTCCTTCAACCCACTGGGACCGAGTGTTTTCACTGTCCTTCACTTCCCCCATGCTCCCATGTCCCTCCTTTAATCAGTTTAGATTCCATGGCCGTTCATTATAATCCTTCCCTCGCATACATCCTCACTTTCCTTGCCCTCTGGCACTTCAGCATACTTACCAGAGATAACCCCAGCCCTGCTGAAATTCGACTGTGCCTGCTCCACTGCATTTCCCTGGGCCATTTACTCTCCTACCCTCTTAGGTGACTATTCAAATCTCCAGCACTTCCACTCCCATCTTCATGTTCAGGCTTCCTACTTGACTAAAAAATTGAAACCATCAGAAGAAAACATCTACAGATTCCCACCACGACATCCAACTACCGCACAGCATCTGTACTCATAAACTCTGCCTTGTTCTGTTCGTATCTCCATTCCTGCTGTCATCAAAATCTAGTCCCTTTTTTTCAGCACTAGATCTCATTCTTTCTTACCTGCTTAAGGACATCACTTCACCAGTGTTCCACTCTCTCTACAAGATCCTTCTCATTAGCACACAGACATTCTGTTAATGCTTCCATTTTTTTGTTACGGCTTTATTGAGATATACTTCACATACCATAAAATTAACCTTTTTAAAGGGTACTGTTTCGTGGTTTGTAGTATATTCATGGAACTGTACAACCATCACCACGATCAATTTTAGAACATTTTCAGCCCCACCCCCACCAAAGAAGGTTAATACTCATTAGCAGTCTCTTCCAGTACTCCCCTTCTCCCCAGCCCTAGGAAACCACTAATACAGTTTGTCTCTATCTGTAGATCTGCCTAGTCTAGACATTTTATATAAGTGAGATCATATAATATATTGGTCTTTATGACTGGCTCCTTTCACTTAGCATAACGTTTTTGAGATTCATCCATGTTGTTGCATGTATCATTCCTTTTTATTGCCAAATAATATTCTTTTGTATGGATTTACCATATTTTGTGTGTCCATTCATCAGTTGATGAACATTTCTCTGAACAGTTGTGTTCCCTGGGTGTTACAATTAACATCATAACTTGAAATAATCTACTTTAGATTAATACTAACTTAATCTCAAATAGTATATAAGAACTTTGCTTCAAGATACCTCTTTTCCTCCTGCTTCCTTTGTTGTATTATTATCATACAAATTACCTCTTTATGCATTATAAACCCATTGGCATAGTTTTATTAGTATTACTTTATGCATTTGTCTTTTAAAATAGAAAGAACAAAAGATTTACAAACAAAAATACTTTCTTTCATAATACCTGTATTGTTACCTTCAAGTTACCATTCAGTCCCTTAATTTCAGCCTGATATTAGTGTTTCCTGTAGAATAGATCTGCTAGCAACAAATTCTCAGTTTTTATCTTAACCTCTCTTTCATTGTCTTTCTTTTTAAAAAAATGCCACTTTCTTGTGACTCTTTCATTTTCAAAGGACATCAGAATTCTCAGTTGATGGTCTTTTTGTTTCAACATTTTAAAGATGTCATTACACTGTCTTTTGGCCACCATGGTTTCTTTCTTTAAAAAAAAAAGATAATTGATTGCACATATCTGTAGGGTACAGTGTTGATTATCAATACCTATGTGCAATATATGATGCTTAAAACAGGATAATTAGTATATTCGACATTACACAATATAATCATATTTTGTGGCCCTTTGCCAGTTTACTCCCTCCGCCTCCCCCTTTCCCACCTCTGGTGGC